CAAGGTGGTTTTTGACGTCTTCCACATTTTTAAATTTTCAAATTGTTCTGCAGCGTTAGAAACAAATGATAATCAGAAGGTGCAATGTCGGGTGAATATGGGGGATGCGGCATGATCTTCGAGGTTAAAATCTAAAGAACGAAATTTCGCGAACCACTCTCAAGCGATTCGAACGGCAGCCAGCGGAATCGGGCACGAACTTATGCACTCATCCAATAAATTAAAGTTAAATAAAGAATATTAAGTAATTAAAATTTTAAACAAGATATAAATAGTCAAATAATTGAAAATAATTTATGGCATATTTTCCAGCTTAAAAACTCAGGTATATTGCAAATTCTCAAATAAAATAAAGCGAAATTTTAATTACGTTTAAGGAAAAAAAATTCTTTTAAGGTTTTTTGTTTGTTAGTTTTTTTTTTTTTTAAACAATTCAACTTAACTAACTTGCGGTAAACTAAATCTCTGCATAAATGTGCACGGCAGAAAAAATTCGTCATCGTTTTCATTGTATTATTTTCGTCATTCGCTCAGCGAAAATTCACAAATTTCCATTTTTTACATTAACTATTAGGAGTAGTAGTAAATAATATGTTTTTCGGGGAACACAAAATGTACGATATAATATTACTAAAGTACGAGCTGTGTACGTGGAAATCAACGATTCGGTTAAATGTTTACATTTTTTCATTCTTTCAAATAGTACTACTAATACTAATGTTTTTTTTTCTTCAAAGTTTTCAAAGAGTAATACCCTACAGCTCAATAAAGTAAGGTTGTAAATATTTGTATGGATGTGTTTTATAGTATTTTAATAAACTAATAGTTTTAAATCTGAAGAAAAATAAAATCAAAATTACATCTGTACGTTCGTAATTAATGAGAAACAGTTTTCTTTTTAATAGTATTAGCAATTTCTTTAGTTAGTTTTCAACGTTGCAACATTTCGCTTTTTTGCTAAACATGAAAATTCATTAAAATATACAATGAATATATATGTAGATATATATACATATACATATATACAATATTTTGTACATATAAACGTAAGGTTTGTGAGTTCATCTATGCAGCAGTTTCTTTTTTTTTTTTGTTACTTTTCGGCGTACACGCGTACATTTGTATATAAAATTAAAAAAAAAAAAAAGAAATAAGTAGAATATAGTATAGAATGTGCCTCATATCATCCATATAAATATAGTTTTTTTTTATCATATGTTTTTTTTTAAATAAGTCTATCACATCACATTTTGTTGTTGGTTTTTTTTTTGTATGCTAATCAATTTTTGTTGTCGCTTTGCAGTTTTGTTGCATTCAATTTCATGTTATATTTATAATATATATATATATATATATGTATATATATATTTTGCATAATTATATCAATTATATATAACGCGTCTTTTTTCCTTATTAAATTAAAATTTAAAAAAACAACAAATGCTCTATAAAATACTATTTTTGAAATAATATTGGTTTTGTTTAGAGAAAATTTTCTTATTTTTTTGTTTGCTTTTTCATTTTTCTTTTTTTTAATTTGACCCGTATCGGTTGGCTAATTCCTTTATGCTTGACCAGTGGAACAAAGTATTTGTTGCTTTTGTGTTTTACTGCAAAACTTACATTAACAAAATATAAGTCTGTATGTAAGTATATTTCCGTTTTATTTTTATTTTACTTTTTACTTTTCGATAACAAAACATTACTCTTCCAATTAATCGAATTACAAGCTACTCTAAATGAAAGAAAAAAAAAAACGTATTTTATTTTTAATTAATATTTAAAAAAAACTTCAACATTTTTAGTCTGTTTTAACTAAGAGATCTTTAGGTTGGGAGTACAGTATGTATTGTTGGACATTATCGAATACTGTTGAGATATACAGAATTTTAATGCAATTTTATATAAGGAAAAACTCCTTTGCGTTTATCACCAATGAAAAATATATGTATAGTGAGAAAGCTTGTGCAACAACGACAACAAATAGCAGACAAGATTCGTCTTTTAGGTGCTAACTCTACTTTTTTTTTCCTGTTAATGTTGTTGTTCTCTTGTGGGTTGCTAGTTAGAATTTCCGGCGCAAATTTACCTAATCGCGCTGCGCTGCGCTGCCTTTTTTCTGGCATAAAAACGTGTTTATACCTTAGCTTGTTTCTACTTTCGATAGTTTAAATGTACAAACGAAATATTCTCGCTTTTCTTTCTAAAAAAAAAAAAAAAAAAAAAATAACTGCAGAAGTATGTATGTAAGTGCATTTGATAGTAGGCATACTGGCGCATGGCTTTTTTTTATTGGTTTCTAATAAGCTTGAATTTCTCGTAAAGAAACAAAATATAAATAATAATGTGTGGTTAGTATATAGAGATGCAACTTTTTAAAAACAAAATTAATCAATTGTGATAATTTTGCATTTTTCTCTTTAGCAAATGGTGTTTCACACACAAATTTGTAGAAAAAAAAATTTAAGATTAATTTTTTCTTACAATTTTAAACAAAATTGGTTTGTAGTCAAATACGCATACACACATTATTATATTTATTACGACTGCTTTGGTTGGTTGCCTTATATAGGTCTTGTAATTTTTTTTTTTGCTGTTGAAATTACAATTTATCATTATATACTGGCAAGTTTTCAACCTCAGCCTATATGTATGCATATATATATATACATATGCATGTATGTATATGCGTCGACTGAATTTTCTCTGTTGGTTAGGAATATTCGAATTACTTGTTTTTTTTTAAGTGAAATATATTAAACTATTTCTTAAAAATTAACTTTCACGTTTTATGTTTTCGCTTATTTCCCCACATTTACATACATAGTTAGTACGGTACATATATATATAAAATATATATGTATATATACATATGCTGTATATGGTAATTAAAAAATAATTATTTATATTTTTTAAGTTTTATTCTGCTTTGCATACTTTTCAGTTTCTTTTGTTTGTATAATTTGACTTTGGCTTCGATACTAACAACAATGTTTCCTTTACAGCAGTTTTTTTTACTTGTTTTAGTTGCACTAACAAATAAGTAAATTTCAATATGTATGTTTGTATTTTTCCCTATTTTTAACTGACAAAATTCAAATACTAAAAGTCCCAGCTGACCTTTGTTATGTATCTTTATTATTTTGCCTAAGGAATCTGAGCAGCAGCAGTAGCAGAGCATATAATAGCGCAAAGTGAAGAGCTATTCGCGTTAATACTTGTTTGTATACGTCGTTCTTTTCTTTTTTGGTTTCTTTTTTTTTTATTTTTTTGTGAGAGAATACATTGTATTCAAAATTTAAACCGAATGAATGTCAATGTATTGCCATTTTTACCTAAATATATTTACCTAATAGTAAAAAATATTTATTTTTTCCTTTGGGAAATTTTCGAAAGTGTTTTTCTTCCGTACAAAGTATACGCAATTTTATTTCTCTAACGTACATATGTATGTTTTAACGTTAAGTTTATCTTAGGGAAAAAGTTTATGTACTTTTAATGCATTTAATGAAGTTTCTTGAAATATTTGTTTATAGTATATGCGTAATGAACAAAATTATACTTTTATTGTTTACTAAAAAAAAAAAGAGTCTAAATGATTTGAAAATGCGTTCAGGTGAAATACAAATGAGGTATGTATGTGTATGTGTGTTAAGCTGCTTCTCAAGGTTTACAATTTTGGCAGTGAAATTGGTAGACATTTAGTGCTAAAAACAAAATACATACATACGTGTGTATAAATACTTGAAATCTGTTTTTAAATTAAAATTTATGGTGAAAAAAACATCTATACACTGCATATTTGTGAATCAAATAGTTCACAACTTTGTTGATAAACCCAGTTAAGCCCTCTATCTACTTGACGAATGTTAATGAGCTTCCTAAAAAAAAACATTCGCTATTGTTTGTCTGTTAATATTTATTAGTAGACGCGTTTTCACAACTAACATTCGAAAATGTCTCACCCTACTCCTTTTCTTTTTGTGGTGATGTTCTTTCATAGACATATTTATTAAAAATATGATCATTCGTAGAGTTGAAAGTTTGCAATTATTCATTTTAAATGTAAACTTTTTCTCTTTTTCTTTATGTTTGTATGGATGAATGCGGCGCATTTTATGTTAATTTTTCATATTGTACGTTCAAATTTGTTTCGTTTTAACTGGCTAGATTTGGCTGTTGCAAAATTTCATGTCTCTTGACTAATTAAATTATATCAAAATTATACTTTATTACATATACCATTTATATGCGATATATATTGTATATATTGATTTTGTTGAATTGATAATTAAAAGTTGTTTCTCATTAGTTATTGTTGTCTTTTGTTTACGGGGGGGGGAGGGAAAAAATAAAAAAAAATAAATTAAGTTACTATTTTGTGGCAAGAGCGGTGGTGCTCGATAAAATATTCAAAAATTCATAATTTTTGTTTTTGCTCTTGTACCGCTTATTCGCTTTAATGCAATCATTTTTAATTATTCTCATCATAATGAGCTGTGCCTGAGAAATCTAAGCTAAAGTTAAATAATTCATTTTTTTCTTTAGAAAATTCATATACAAGTTTTGTTGCAAAAAAAAATGAAGATAAAAAAAATATGTTGATCGAAGCGATGCGATATTTTTTTTGTTTTTAGTTTTCCAATATAATTTTATGATTATTAAAAAAAATAAATTAATAATTGTAAACTTATTTGCGGAATTCCTTTTAATAATACAAATTTATGATTCCAAAGTATTTCGTAAAAAAAATATATATATTTTTACTTGTAGGGTCACACATTTATGTACAAAAGTCAACAAAATTTTAAATTTCGTTTAAATCTTGTTGTTTTAAATTTCAGCGTTTAAATTGTTTTTTCATAGTTACTGACTGCTTTCTTTTAGTTGCTCGCTTAATTTTAAGTGTTTTTCTTTTCATATATAGAAGAAACCGGAACTAGTAATTTGTAATTATAAATACGGAAAATTTAAAAAATGCACTTTAAAATAATTTTTGTACATTTTTAAATGCTTAAAATAATATATTTTTATTTTATGTCTACACCAGTAGTGTAGGTTATAGTTTGTGAAAGCCAATTCATTCAATCAATTTAAATTATATTTTTCGTTAAGAAATTCAAATCGGAAACGATTTTTTAACCTAAAACCCAAAAAAAAAAAAATATTCCAGTATATTAAAAGTTGTGAAAATTATTCACTGCTTATGTATGTAGACTTGTACATTATATGATTATTCAAAATTAGCCAATTTGTGGAATTGCCGTTCACAACAACTGAAGGCTGAAGGCCTTGTTGCGATTACAGTAAAAGTGTTTTGCTTTAAGGTAAACCGCCGATCTTATATTCCCTTACAAAAGAAATAATACGTTTTTTTTTTTAAATTTAAATTTCGAATTGAAAGATAGTTTACCGAAATTTGTTTGTAAGTCAATAAAAGAGTGTAAATACTTGCATCTCTTATTTATGCTTGCAAAAAATTAGTTTTGTTACCATTTCCAACAATTTCTTTCAGCTTAGTGTTTTTCTCGGCGTCATACCTTTTAAGCTTATACCGGCTTCGTATTTCATGTATAGCTTGAACAATTACCGTTTATCGATTATTATTATTATTTATGAATATCTTTTTTTTTTTTTGCATTATCAATAAGTAAATATTTGTAAGTATGTCGATAAAATTGAAGAAATGTATATGTTATATGTTTTCGCTGAGCGCACTGCCAATAATTCAATCGTCTTTTTTCATGCACTTACGCTCTTTGTTGTTGTTGTTGTTGCTGCTGTTGTTGCATTACATCGGCAGCAGTGGCTTGTGCCACACCGGTAGGAAACTGATGTGGGTGAGCGTAGTATGCAGCAGTGGCATGTGGTGGCAAGCCACCGTATGGATTGGCAGCAGCGGCGGCGGCAGCAGCAGCCAAAACACCACTAGCATCATACATATAAGCAGCAGCAGTATTGGCAGCTGCAGTGGGTGGCGATTGTGCTGGTGCAGCATACAAAGCTGCAGCTGGTGGTGTAGGTACATTACTGGGATATTCACCGCCCAGTTGACCACCAGCGGCAGCCACTGCAGCTGCTATATTTGCAGCGACATTTACTTGCTGTTGGTGTTGCTGCTGCTGTTGTTGTTGCTGCAAGTTGGTAACTGCAGCTCCATTTATAACGCCACTGTGCTGTTGATGGTCAACACCACCAGCGCCACCACTAGCGACTACATTCTGTTGTTGTTTATCATAGTGCTGTTGTTGTTGATTATATTCCCGTTTTTGATATTGTTGGAAACGTGGTACGTTTCCATTTTGTTGTGGAATGAACTGTTGACTACGTGGGCGGTATTGCTGTTGTGGCACATAACCGCTATTTTGTTGCATATGTGGTGGCATGTAGCCCATCATGGGGCGTGGGCCACCAGCATTGAAAGGTGCACGTGGACGATAAGTGCGACCACCATTGGCATCGGCACTATTATATTGACCACTAGTACCGCTGCTACCAACCACGCCAGAACGATTATTCCAATTTCCACCGGTGCCACCACTACCAACACCGTTATGCTGCTGGTACATACCATTATTTTGCTGCTGATAATGATTCGGTTTGGGAGCATAAGCAGCGTTGTTGCCTGCCTGATAGTTTAGTGGATTGCTGCGCTGTTGATGCGGTGGCTGATGAGTTTGTTGCTGCCAGCGACGATTGTTGTTGCCACGATTATTACCATTTCCCCCGGATGATCGTGCCAAATCTAATAATTCTGGTGGTGGCACTTGACCAGCCTCTTCAAGCACAGAAATCAAATCGCGTGCCTGTTTGCCGTTATCAGGAGTGAAGAATGTATAAGCTGTGCCCAATTGTTGACAACGACCTGTGCGCCCAATACGATGCACATAATTTTCAGACGAATTTGGATAATCATAATTGATTACATATTGTAAGTCCTCCACATCTAGACCACGAGATGCCACATCGGTGGCAATCAAAATATTGGACTTTCCATTACGGAAATCTTTCAAAACTGAATCACGTTCGGGCTGCGACTTGTCACCGTGTATGGAAGTGGCAGTATAACCTTCGTTTCGAATTATTTGCAAAATTTCCTCAACCTAGAGAGTATACATATATTAGTATTTTCACAAGAAAACTAGAATAACGCTTTTTTAAGTAAATATTAACTTTCCCAAATTTTAAGTAAAAAATATATAAAATGTAAAAAGCGCTGATTTTTTTTTATGTTAATAAATAAAATTTGTTTTCTTACCTTGATTTTAGTTTCGACAAAGATAATAATCTTGTTGTTATTGTTAGCAGCATTGTTAGTTGTTGGCGCTATTTCCTGCAAGAGCTTAACAATTCGTTGGGGCTTCTCTACTTCTTGACAAATTTCAACCATTTGACGAATATTATGATTGGCGGATAGATTCATCGAACCAATATTAATGGAAATGTAATCTTTCAAGAAATCACCGGCCAATGCTTGTACTTCCTTTGGCCAAGTGGCTGACCACATGACTACCTGACGATCAGGACGAATTTGTTCAATGATTTTACGAATTTGTGGCTCGAAACCCATATCCAACATACGATCCGCTTCATCCAATACCAAATAGGTACAACGTTGCAAATTTGTGTTTCGATTTTCCAAGAAATCGATAAGTCGGCCAGGAGTTGCGATAATCACTTCAACACCTCTTTCTAAATCACGAGCCTGTGGTATTTTCGACGAGCCACCAAAAATACATGTGTGACGTATTTCAGGCTTAGACAAATGCCCATAATCACGAACGACGGATTGTATTTGTTGAGCCAGCTCACGTGTTGGTGCCAATACAAGTGCTATTGGACCTTCTCCTCGTTGCAACGGTGGTTGGTTAGCAATGTGCACCATAGCGGGTAACATATATGCCAATGTTTTGCCAGAACCTGTTTGTGCGATACCCACTAAGTCACGGCCTGAGAGTGCAATCGGCCAACCCTGAGCTTGAATAGCGGTAGGCTTTGTGAAACCCTGACGCTTCATCTCTTCAATTGTGTACTCTGGAAGAGAACATTCCTCGAAGGTCGATACCGGGTGAGGTATCCCATTACCTGACACGGTTATTTCCAACTCGTTGCGAAGCTCAGCAACTGCTTGTTCACTCATATTCAATGTATTTTGATGTGGTGCGTAGAAATTCTTTTTAAAGGGTTGCAAATTCTCCCAACGTGGGATTTGTAAATTACGTCCAGGATTTTTGGCTTTTTCACGCTGTAATTCAGCTCTCTCTTCTTTACTCAAAAGTCCCAAGTTAATACCACCATGATAACCTCCGTTGTTTGGTTGATAACCACCATTCGGCTTTTGATGACGAGGTACGAAATTTGGATTTTTACCTCGTGCTTGGAAACCGCCAGGATTAGTAATTCCGTTACCATAAAAGTTTGGTCCTCCACTTGTCATCATTGAGTTGGTGTTATTTGCACCACGGTAGGTGTTTTGTGTACCCCCATATAAACCAGAGCTACCACCATATGGCATACCGGCATTGGTTCCGTTGTTTATAGCATTTCGTTGATAATGGGGACGCTCGGGACGGGGCCCAGCAGCTGCAGCGCCACCACCACCATAAAAACCAGTAGAGTTGGCTTGTGGGCTGCTACCGTTTACTGCATAACCACCTGCGTACATTTTATTTACTTCTTCTCTGAAATCCTTGTCGAAAATGGATTTTTTTGTATATAATTTAGCTTTTATTCTTTTAGAACAAAAGTCGTACTTTTCAAGTTGCTTCTGTGGTATTAAAGAAACGAACAAAATGAAACATGAAAATTAGAATTTTATAGTAAATACATTTTCTTACGTTGGAGTGGCATTTAAATCAAAGGTAAGCAGGATAAATTTTGCCAGTTTCTACTTTGAGTCATGAATAAACTAAGGCTACAAAAAATTATCTGATTTCTAAATTGTAATTTTTTTTTATCTGCATATATAATGCAAATCTTATAACGTTTATTTGTACACCGAAAATAAGTGGAGAACAAAAGAAAACCACATGGTTACCAGTTGCAAATTAGAAGTTTGCCGAACACCTTTTTTTTTTTTAATACATACAGACCTGACTACAACTATGGGGAAATGTATACATATATGTAAAAATTTTTTGAAGGTATCAACTTCGTTGTTTGGCATCGTTGAAAAAATCGATACTGCCTCGTTTTTCGTAGCAAAGGGGAGAAAGCGCTTACTTAATATAAAAAAAATAAATAAAAAAAAATTTAGAATGAAAACTCAGTCCTGACTTACATATAAGCAAAGAATTTTAATGTACGACTTACCTAACTTTGTAATTGCCCCTATTTCACTGAAATAGCACAATTATAGTCTTCAGCTTCGATGCGAAGTTCTTTATTCTAGTTCTATGTGATAAAACTACTTCCAACTTTTTCGCATTCAATTAAAGCAGATATAAAAATCAAACTGCTTAGATTTCACTATCTGGCCGGTTCTTTGCTTCTTTGGAATATGTGAAAAGCTCTAATGAAAATTTTAGATTTTTCACTTATTTTCTTCTTCACTTTGCTGCTGCTTTATGTCCGTCTACTGCGTATTTCACTTATGGTTACGAAAAAAGTAAATACTTTACGTTTTTCGAAGTATTAGTTAAATTTTCTGTTATACAATAAAAGTAAAATACTATTATTTTATTGTATTTTATTTTAACTAATTTAAATGTGCAGGAATAAGCGAAAACGACGTGATGGTAATTGAACGACCAATTACCAAACTGTGACGAACGAATGAAGAAATCCCGAACGAAGCAACGAATATGATGGCGGCCGTGCGGGAAATTTTTGTTGCAGTTTGCAAATGGCGTCTATGAACGGGGTGTTTCAAGAGAAAAAAAAACTGAAAATAATTTTTCTTAACAATGTCAGTAAGTGAAACTCACAGTTGTAAAATTTCCCCTACGAAATATTTGTTGTCTTTGTTTTTTAAATATTTCTTAAATATTTACTTTCTTAGCTTTTTTTCCAAATGAAAATAGAAAAAAAAAATCAGATCAGAAAATACTTAAGAGATCATTTGAAATGTTGCATCCATTCATAGTCATAACCAGTTATACATATATATTATAAGGCCGGCTTTATACTTACCAATTATTTAGTTTGTTAGTTCAATTTTTGATTGCTTGCAATCACTGATAAGCTGACGTACAATAAATTAATCGCAAAATAAATTTCCCGCGAACACCAGCAAATTACCAAAGGTCTTATTGCTTGCAATGAACTGTTAGTTCTTTACTTTGACAACTAATATTTCATTTGCAAGAAAGCGGGTTGGTGTGCTGGGAAGCAAAATTAGTATATTAAAATTAAATGAATCAGGATTTCTCCTTTTTTAAGCAAGTTTTTTCTTATCACTTCAAAATGTTTAAAAGCTTTACTGCGAAGAACATACTTGTTTGATGCCATGTTAAGGTTATGCTTCTATGATGGACATATGTGTTTGCTGATTTCAGAACGGAATGTGGCATTGTGTGTAACCTGAAGCAAGTGATCTGGAAAATAATATAATTGCATACTATTCCTCTATTAGTTTATTGAAATACATAAGCAAAGCAATCGTTAACTTCGCTTTTTCTGGTATAAAGTCCTTTGGTTTCGTATTAGCTACAAATTAAATTTACTTTGTTATTTTCCACCAAGCTGGTTGCATATCTTAACAAAAGGGCAGCTCGACTGCATTTCTTTCCTTAAGTTATTATATACCACTGGAAATAGGCCTTTACAAATGATTTTTATAATTTCATATTCAAATTCCAACACTGAGAAAAAGGTGCTTGTGTTTGGGATATTTGCAATCAAAGGGTGTTTCGAATAATTTTGTTTTTAAAAGTTTATCGATAAAAATGAGCAGCTCAACCCTTGCCGGTAGAAGGTATCAGTCTTGCCAGATACGACGCTTTTATTGTTTATTATTGGTGATACATAATAGCTCGTTTCCATTAGCTTGTTTTGTGCGCTTTTAAGAGATAAACAAGTTCATTGAACAGTAATCATGCGAAAAGTTTTATTTTAACAGCCACATCTGCAAACAATTAAAATTGTAATTTTTTTATGCCTCAATTATCCACTAACTCTATCTGATACAAAACTTTCTTTTTAAGCATAAAACAATAAACGTTGGGCAGACTATATGTTCTCCTGTTTTAGGATTTAATGTTTTTTATGTTAGAATATTAGCATTGCGGACTGCCGCACAGAAAGCCAGGGTTCGAGTCCTGGTCCGACCATACAAAATTAATTGAAATAAGAAAATATGATAAAATCTCTAATTGCAGTTGCCCCACGGCAGGGAAAATGAAACCCTCCGAGTGTATTTCTGACATAAAAAAGTTCCTCATAAAAATCCTTCAGCCGTGAAGCGGCTTAGTATGAACAGTGAGTCCATCATCCAGACGTATACCACGATTTGGAGAAGCTCGGCCAAAAATTGCTTCAGCGTAATGTAATTAGCTTTTAAGCTTCGTAAATTTTTTTATTTAATCATCGTCAACATCTTACATACATATATTCTAAACATTTCAATGTATGTATATTTTATGTATTTTAACAACAAACTTAATTTGGTACATAAATTTAAACCTTAGTTTCACTAACGGGTTCTGATTCTTTTAAATTGATCTTGCTTTCGAAGTTTTTAAATTCTTTTTCTGCGAATTTATCTACTTCATCGAATACTTGTTCCACTGATACAACTTCGGGTATGTAGAATTGCAACATATTTTGTACGCCATTTTTCAGTGTAACAATGGAACTTGGACAAGATGAGCAAGATCCTTGCATTTTCAACTTAACTACACCGTCTTCGTAACCCATATATATAATGTCACCTCCATCCTCTTGTACAGTTGGCCGTATACGACTGTCAAGTAGTTCTTTAATCATCATCACAACGTCATCATCATCATCATCAATTTGCGTGTCTGAATTAGGTTTCGCTTCGTTCAGAATGGGTAAACCACTTGCGAAAAAATCCATTACTACAGCAAACACTTCGGGTTTTATAACGGCCCAATTCGTTTCCTCATCTTTTGATATTGTTATGAAATCAGCGCCGAAGAACACCGCACGTACACCCTCGATACGAAAGAGAAGTTTTGCTTAAAAAGTTAATAGCTTTAAAATTTATCTTCCAATAGTGTTAATACTAAGCAATATACCTAAAGGACTGCAATAAGCTGCAGACACGCTTGGAAAGTCATATGTATTACCCTTGCCAAGTACTTCTACGCCAGGCAGAAATTTGAGACTGTCTGGATTAGGTGTGTCTTGTGTTTGTATAAACATGTTGCGCCGACCTTTATATATACAGAGTGGATTAGAAGCTGGTGTATTTAATAGTGGTTTCTTTGTTGAAATTATTCCATGACTTTGAGATGTGGTAATATTTTGCGATGCTTGCGTACAACTAGAATGTTGAATATTTTTAATATACTGTTATTAATACATATATGCAAGTATTTTACTCACACATTAAAAAAACGATTTTTATTTCGGAAAATGGCACCATTTCTCTGAATTGACCGCAAAATTAAACGAGACATTTTTTTTAGTCGTAATAAAAACGTCCAAAATATTCGATGCCGGCCTAAAAATATTTGATTACGAATCAGCTGTTTTTGTTATGAAGTACGTTTTTGTGAATGGTTAACAGCATCACAAGCGAGAGATGCCACAATTACAAAAATTTGGCGAATTAAACTGGATTGCTAAAACGGAATCGATTTAAGTTCTGTGATAGAGAAACACCAATATTAACTTTGAAGTTGCCCCCAGTAGCTGCTTTGGTCTATTGTACAGTCCTAGGTAGGTTTGTACATTGCTTTGATCTGAGTAGTGCTCACTACACGAACTTTTAACTCGATTGATGTAGCTTACAATTATTCTCATACTAGGAGTTTTTAATAACCAGAAATTCCATATGTTTTTTTTTGTGTCTAATACGGAGTATTCTGCGCTGAAAGCTGAGGCCGTTACAAGCCGTAAAGGTAACTTCTTCGAGTTGGTAAGAGAAAAAGAAGGAAGTCAAGCTGTACTTCGATCAGTCAATGGTTGGAATCAAAATACGTATTTTTTTATTCGAATCAATATTATATAACACCAAATATTGGTATATATATAAATATATAAACGAAAATTAAATGCTATTTAATTCAATCTTTATAAGGATTTGTCCATAAACCTCTCACTGCTGCCCGACAAAACGTAATTTTGTTTCACATTTCTTTTCATTTTGTACTACAAGTTTATTAAAAAATATTTATTATAAACAAATCCTACATTATTATATAACATATTTTTATAATTAGTAGTTTTCTTAAAAAATCATTTATTAACTATAATCTATTAGGTGATAATATTTGTTTCTTTGCTTTCACCTCCGCGCACAGTTACATTGCTATATTATAGCAATTAAATCAACCACCCACCCCTCTTGGCTGATCGACGTGGTTTATGAATGCACCCTTAGTTAAGATTGTGATGAGGACGACCCATTTGGCTAGCTTTGTCGCCTCAGTTGACGTCTTCTTTGGCGAGTCCTTTCTATACGCTGAGCTTGTCTTCTTTGACTTTGTGCGATTTTTTTTCGACGTTTGGCGTTTTGTCTCCTAATAAAACGTCTAGTACGTCTTCTGCGTCGCGCATTCACTCGTCTTCTTTCGGCTGGTGTGAGACCATCTGATGAGCTCGATTGTGAGCTACTGGCAGTGACTGGATTGACAGCAGTAGAACCAGTTGGTGAAGTTGCAGTGGATGAAGTTGCAGTAGGTGAGGGTGCCGTTGGTGAGGTTTGAGCTTTACAGCTGGCAAAATAATAAATTGATACCAATAAAATAATTATATTGCAGTGAAAAAACTTCATTTTTAATCTCGAACAATAAAATAATTAAAATAATCAGAATTTAAAATCGGTTTGTGAAGCTTTTTTAATTTCCGTGGGGCTTTATATAGGTAAATTTCAGTTTTTAGAAATATAAATAATATATTTACGCTTATTTGTTTGTGTACAAACTTCCGACAAGTCTGCTTGAACAATTCTTTGCTATAAAGTCTAATCCACACGAATAAATATTGACTATGTACATTTGGTAAGAGTAAATATTTGAACACGACTTAAAGTAACACAGGTGTTTTGTATTATGAACTTCACATATTGCTTACTGCGGTATATGTATTAAGATTACCGGAAGTAGCACCCACTCGCGTTAGCAACTTCCTGAAATTAATGCTCATGGAAAACAAACGGAAGTGTGTAACATGTGCTCAAATAGAAGCCCAGAGCATTCGAGCCCACAATTAAGTATATATAAAAACGATCGATTCCGTAAAGTTATCATAAATTAAATTTTAAGTTTTCTTAAATAACTCAATTTGTATTTTTTCAAGTATTTATTAAATAAAAAATGAAGCTTTTATACTTCAATATATTAATTGTAATCTTAGCAATCTACTTTGTTGCCTTTACTAAAGCACAAACTTCACCAAGTGCAACATCTCCAACTTCTTCAGCTAGTACTACCAATAGCACGTCTAGTACCCGTACGCCAGCGCAAAGAGCAATTGCGCGACTTCGAAGACGTGCTCTTCGTTATATTAAGAGACGGAACGCTCGGCGTCGAAGAAGAATTGCTAAAAATCGGAGAAGACAGGCTCAACGTGCGCAAAGTATTCGCCAAAGAAGACGCCAGAGAAGACAGCAAAATCAGTCGAGCAGAAGGTCATTTTAATTAATTTAAGAAATTCATTTGTGAATACGATTATATATATGTATACAATTAAAATATTGAAATATTTAAAATTTACTAAAGATACTCTCGACCATGTTATCATCTTTTACTACCGCTGAGCTCATAGATTTCTTTACAGGTCCTAAGCTCTATTCACTGCGAGTTCTTTCACAGCTTCTTATGGGGAGATTTAATTTTTGATATCAGTCGAGGGGCGACCGCAATTAAAGGAATCTTGTGAGTATTTGCTCCCATGACCCTCCGCAAGGTAGCATTCCTCGTTAGCCACAGAGCTACCATTGCCGATTGAGTTTGCAAAATCAGCTTAATAATAAATTAAGGTTATGGCTAAATTAACTTTTCAGTTATGGGACACTTTTCGGGTGCTTGAATAAAGCTCCTTTGCACTTAAAGTTCTTTCCTCTAATAGAAAAATATTGTCGTCTGATAAATGAACCATAAATTTTACGCAAAACCTTTCTCTGGAAAACTCGTAACGCTGAATCATCGGATGTTGTCAGGACGGGAACGATGAGAATGATTCAGACTGTCAACAGTGACGTGGGAGCCGAGTCGCGAGTCGTTTGTGAGATGGCAGGAGATATTTCGTCTTCCCCTCGTTCACTACCACATCCATATCCTTCGCTTACTTATTCAGTCTGGAGAAAGCAGAACTGACGGCCCGGTTGTTGAGGTCAATAATGCCAATAACATCGCCAACAGCTGTACACTCCTATAGAAGATTGTACCTTTTCTATTCAGCTCGCATTATTTTATCCAGCAATAAGTAAGAAAGTCACACGATAGGGACTTACCCTATTTGAAGCCTCGTTGGGTATCGAACGGCTCGGAGAGATTCCCTCCCGATCCTGAGGGAGCTTTTAGTGTTGCTTAACGCCAGTTTACATAACCGAATAAGTTATGTGGAGATACCAAATTCAGACATAGCGGCGTAAGGCACCTAATATTCGTCCTGTTGAAGGCGGCTTTAAAATCAACGAAGAGGTGGTGGGGTCTTTTTATTAACACATACAGTAATGTTATTGGAAATTTGGATATTTTATGATGATGATTGAATATCCAAATATCGTTATTCACAAAACAGAATACTTCTCAATTTTGAAAATCTGGCAGCATTTTGTGTAAATGACAATTGACTGACACAGAGAACGTATAACATAGAGAAGGTGCAAAGCCAGCGTTTCTGACATTTCTGGCAGAAAAATTTCGTTTGATGTAATCGTCATTTCCTTCTCGTCTTAAATTTCTGTTTCACCTCGATATGAAAAATTAACAGAATTGAGCGTATTCAAACACAACAGAGAACTAAAATCTATGCATATGTAAATTAACAGCCGCTTTTATTTACTTTTATCACATATAAATGACCAAATTGAATTCAAATTTGAAATCATCAATTAATTACTGATANGAAAGACCCATACATACATGAAATCATGAAAAACACAAAATTTTCATTCATAAACGCATGCGCCCTACAACAAAGCAATGTGTTCATTCATAAATACCACTGCTCACAGGACGGTCACAAACTCATACATGTAAGGAAGACTAAATTCGAGTGCAAGCGATATTTTCCACTGATATTAAAATGTATGAGACATCTCAGTTCTTACTCGAGCTATCGTGTTTAGAGACGGAGGGACAGACATTCCTAAATCAATGTATATCACCATTCCACGAAGTTTTCTACATAGTTATAAGTTCTTACTTTGATTATTTTAAAACCGTTAGCAAAACAAATCCAATGCACTCTGGTCACATAGTACAGCCGGGTATAAAAAGTCCCGTAACAAAAATTAGCAAATCGTACATCTTCCCGAAATGTGAAGCAACAACAATCTACATTGGTATGTGGCATACACTAGCATTGCTTCAAATTCTTGCGACTTTGACAAAAATTCAGACTTTGCCGAATTAAAGCAAGTCGGCATCGTGCTGTTAAATTTGCTGTTTGCCTATTAGCTCATATTGGGAAGCAAGTAAATTCAAGTTGTCTGTCCTCCTGTAAGCTGGGCAAAATGCAAAAATTCTAGATTTTAGGGATGAAGTGCGAATCCCAAGCTAAAACAGAAAAAACGCATTTTTCCATATACTAATGTGATGGCATGCGTAAGTCTATTTTTCAAAGTTTTTAGGAGAGCAGTTAGAAAGTTCAGCCTTCCATATGTCTCCCAATCAAATTTTGGTAGGTTTTATATAAATAATTTCCGTTCTAATAGGAATACAACTATGAATTATAAGTATAATGTAGATATTGACCTGCTAAAAACGATAGTGAGGATATTTCAATTTCGTATTAAGTTGAGTTAGGCGTACACATGTACATATGCAAAAATTGAATTGCCGTCGGCAAAATTTGCGATAATTTCGTAATTATTTTCAATGTTATCAATTTACATTATGTTCACAAATTAACATACTGTTACGCTCAATTCTTTTAATTAACAGCAAGTTTTGCGAATCATGTGAGGAGTGTGGTACGATTACGTGAAACGAAGTAATCGTGCTTTTTGACAATTTCCACTCTGGTCCGTACTTGCACCTTCTCTATGTTATACGTTCTCTGAGATGACGAAATAGAAAAAAGAAAAATTTGCAAAAAAAAGACGAAACATCAAGATTTAATAAATTTTTTATTAAACGAGAAAAATTTTTAGTGATCGTTTTATTAATAAAAAAATGAACCAAATCGCCAAAGATCATTAGAAAATACCAACCAGCTAACGGGATACTTCAAACGATTCAATTATTGAAAAAAACAAATTTGGAGTTGGATTAATTGACATATTATTTGTAAAAAGTTTATTGCGAGATAAACAATCTGGGTTATAATTTGTGTAAAAGTCAAGCGGGTAATCTAAAATATCACAGCAAATATAAATACGACTGTGGAATTCGGAACAGTAAAACAAGAAAACAAACATGGTTAAACTTTTTGCGCTGAGTATTTTCCACAAGGGATCTGCAGAGGCACGTCTCTTAAAGGCTGCTTATGATTTACAATCATTTTCATTCTTTCAACGCAGCACAGTCCAAGAGTTTATGACGTATGTTATTTATTTTTCACTTATTAGACATGTGTGTATGTATCTATTGTTTCTATATATTTATTTAGCTTTGCATCAAAAACCATTGTTGAGCGCACGCAACCTGCCATGAGACAGTCAGTTAAGCAAGAGGCATACATGTGTCATGTGTACGTACGGTCTGATAACTTGGGTGGCGTACTAATTGCTGATCACGAATATCCGCAACGTGTGGCACATACACTCATAACAAAAATATTAGACGAATTTAGTGCGAAAATTGGGCCAGAGCTTTGGGAAACGTCGTCTGAATCAACAATTGATTTTAATGTAATGCCTGCATATCTTGCAAAATATCAAGATCCCAAAGAAGCCGATGCGCTAACTAAAATGCAAAACGATTTGGATGAGACAAAGATCATATTAAAGAACACAATAGAAGCAGTACTCGAACGCGGCGAAAAGCTCGATGATATGGTGGTCAAATCAGAGAATCTTTCAATGCAAAGTAAAGCATTTTATAAGACGGCCAAAAAGACAAATTCCTGTTGCAATTTTAGTTAAATTATATAAAAATGTTTCAAATACAAATAAGAACGAATTTTGCGAGATAATAATTCTAATTTTTAACGTTAATTATTTCCGTTAACAGATATTTAGTTAAATTTTTTGAGTGCTTGCTTTATTGTTCGAAGAATTATTACATTGATTATTACAGCAAGCATTAATGATGAAGGGTTTTTAGAAAGTATGCAAAGCCAGAGATTAAAAAGGAAATCAAAGCAGCAGCATCAAACCACAATTCAACCCATTCCAATTATATTTATATAGATTTCAGTCAAGATACTTTTTTGAAATGTTAAGGAATGAATAATCAGACAAACAATATAGAGAAAAATGTTTGAAAGCATATACATATGTACACTGCAATATATGAGATTGATTGCCCCAGAAATACTGTTACAATTAAATGAAACTGATAATATACACAAGCGTTTGTAGTGCAAGCTTTTTTATGATATTTGTGTATGTAGTTTATTTGTCTAAACACAAAACTAATTGGAATAGATATGTATGTAAGTTTACAATTTTGAATATATGTATGTATATAAAATGTGGGTTAACGTAGCGCGAAATGTTTTTATGCTAAAACTATTGTAAACGTTTTTTTTGTGAAGGCATTTATTCAAAAGTGAATATTAAAAAAAATTTTCAAGTGTAAAATATTTAGGGAAGAGTGGACCAAGAATGGCATAAATAACAACAATTATGTCTTTTATTTGATGAAATTGATTAATTCTGGAATGTGTAATGCAAGTTTCTTAAGATATTTTGAATAATATGTACGGGCGGCGCTGAAAAGCGATGTTATTTGAGAGATACACAATGAAAAAACAAATTCAGTTGAACTGAACTGCCTACTATACTATTAAATTTTTATACATACATACGTACATACCTAAATATATATATGCATACAAATTTTAAAATAAAAAAAAACATGTATTAAAAGTATAGGTGTTGCTTTGTTAAAAAATGCAAATAAATACCATTACATGTAAATTATTTGTATAACCCACTTTGAGTTAGGGAACGTCAACAAAAGTAAGGTAATTAACTTTAATTTGTTTAATATACATATATCAAAAAAGCAATAACAATGCAATTTGGTCAAGCGTAATTTACTTTTACATAACTATGCATTCAGAAATATTGCAATATTATGTTTATCTAGTGCATTTCAATACACAATTATGTTTATAAAATATTAGGCAAACATATAGTTTTTTATAAGTCCAATCAAGCATGATTTTTTCTATTACTCCATTTACATTGTGTTAAATTCGTATATGTACAAGCTGGAGTAAATTCTATAATAAAAAGTCATGCATATAAAAGAGTACATACATACATATATATGTAAATTACGAATAACCCAACCGAAGAAAAATTTAATAAAAAAACTATTACTGTGGCTTTAATTTAATGTCGCAAACATCAATAATTAAAAAATACATACATATATGCATACATTTTCAAAATAATCGTGTTCCTCTGAATGTTAATTGGACAAAGAAGAATTATTATTAACAAATAACTAAATAATGTACGTTAACTCAATTGTCTAATGACTGGCATAAATAAATTAATGAAAATGCGAATTTAAGGAATTTTTCATTAAAATTATTTCCTTTAACATTTTCGGCATTACTTGCAGTTGAGGTTAAATCCGCTCTAGAGGTTGAAAAATACACTTATTATTAAAGTTTATTGCCGAAATATGGGAAAAGAAACAGAAAAGCAAAAAGTTGTATGATCTACAAACTACGGTCTTTGGAAGTACACACTGATTTATTTTTTAACTAATTTTTGTAAAAGCAGCACATTTTTTTTAAAGATTGATTTTTGACTAAAAAAAAACGCATTAAATTATTTAAAAACAATTACTTTTAATAAGCTACGTAATTCCAAAAAAATATATTTATGTAGCTACCATCCAAATACAGTTAAATCGATGCAATAGGGTCCGAATAATCTGTCATCCTTGTTTAAAAAATGTGATTTTTAGAAAAATCCGTTTGAAGTTTCTCATTGTACTCAGCGCATGCTCTGAGGGGCTGCAGTAAAATAAAAGGTTCAGCTATTTAAAATATAATTTTTCACTATAAAACCAATTACATTTTATTTCTAGGACCCAAAGGTATTCTGTGAGAAAAAAAATTGCGTTTTCCAAAACCCCTGTTCCTTTATCTCTGAAGTCTTTTGAAATTTTAGAGAAATTTGAATACAAATTTTGAAGTGTTATCATAAATAGTTTTCTTTTCTTTAATTTAATTAGCAACTTGTGAAACATATCCTCAAAAAAAGCCGTCGAACAGATTACTTCTTTTGCAACAACAACAACAAACAACAACAACACCACCACCACCAACAACAACAAAAATCTGCTTATTCTAGGCCTTTTTTCATTCTACAACCACTTTTAGTATCAAATTAATCCTATATTTGTTTTTAGTTTTCTCATATTTTTTTTTTTTTTTTTTATTACATTTTATTTTTATTTTTTATTTTTTATTTACATACATTTATTTATTTATTTTTATTTTGAAAGTGGTTTTCTGCGCCAAATGTGAGTCCAAAAATTGGTTTTGGTAGTTCAAAATAAAATATTATTTTTGCCTGTTTCCAGCAAAAATGCAACTAAACATTTTATGTAGACCGTAAGAAGAAACTATTTCACTTGTGTGGCGCTTATCTATATTCCTAAAACATATGCTATATTCAAAAACATAACTATGTAACAAATATGTACATATGTATAAATTTTTTAAAATTTTTAAATACTGCATTCGATTCGCCATAAGTCCCAAAACAGCAACACCACTATCTTGTGGCTAAAAGTCTACAAAACAAAAACACCCATCGACATTTGGAGAATGGGAATCCCAGCTGTTTATGAAAGTCTCCACAAAATGCTCCAACTGATTACACACAGCCGCACACACAGGCCTGTGTACAAACGTAGACACTTTTCTGCGCAGCTACAAACAACATTTGACAGTAGTAATTTAACTTTTGTGTATTGTTGATATGTTTTTGTTGTATTTGACGTAAATAAAAAATTAAAGTGCCACGGATATCGATAAAAAGTTAGTTGCATTTAAGTAAATATGGCTGTGGTTAAAAGATAAAACAAAATATTGCACTTTGAATTAATCGACTAAGAAAAAACTACAAAAATTTCATTTTATCAGTGGGAATTTCGGATTATACAATTCATGGCAAAAGTATTAGTTGTTATGGAAAATTAGACACTTGTTTTTATTGACCTCATTAGGTGTTGTTTTGTGTAGGTGTGTTTTGATGCTGTTTTGGTTTTTACAAATATTAGGTGTAGTAAAAAGAAATCAATTATTTTTGCATGAAATTTAATACCTCATTCAAATGCTTTCTAGCGGTTTTTTGTGCAATCTTTATCTCTTGAGCAATCGAGACAGTGCTTCCTCTGGACCTTCCTTTCCGTGAAGCGTCTTTTACATCAAAATCACCCTAATGAAACCGAAATTGTGCATGATTGACTGTAACAGTATCAGTACTACAAACGCTATTCACATTTTCACTAGTTAAATATAGTGTATTTTCTCTTTGCTGGTGTCGATCTTTGACGCACGCTCAAAAAAAACTGAAACAACCAATCCCAAAATAGTCAGAAAAGCTTTTTTAGTACGAAATGACATCTTTCTAACGCCATCTGGCGAAACCTGATCGGACTTATACAACGCGTGGTACTTATAAATAACGTAATCTATTGGAAAAATAGTGGATCACTTTTTACTACACCAATATTTAACTCTATACAACTACAGTGTGAGTAAAAATCGTGGTCATACGCTTCTAAAATGCTTTAGAAGAAGAAATACGAAGAGAATTGGGAGAGTGGCTGTCCATAAATCGGATAAAAATCCGATATGAAGGCGCGAAAGTCGCGGGAGCTATTGGATTTTAGTTGCCTCTTACGACAGACATTCCTTAACGCGGGCAAATACAGGAACCCCTAATCCGCATAAATAAAACGTCGCGACGTTGGGATAAATATTGAGAGAGAGCAATAAAAAAATTTTTATGAATAAAGAGAAATTAGCGAATATAAGAATATGAAAAATTTTTATGCAAAAATGCGGTTACTTAAAGAACGTTTCAAGACTGGCTCATACTCAAATAGGATCCATAGAGGTGGTCTATCGATCAGTGTCCCCAGAGTGTATTTGGTTAGAGAACACCAGCTAAATAGAAGTGAACGTGAAATAACCGGAAATGGCGAACCTGTTTCCCAAATCGATGATGATTGAATAAGCATTCCTTCAACGACATAATAGTTGGGAAGTCTGAATGGCAATTGCACCTCTGAATAGCAAAAAGGGGGAGCTTTCCATCTGCATGAGCTATCGGGGAATAAGTGCATATTATGTGAAAAATAAAAGCCTGACGTTAGTGAACTAATTGAACTATTGTATATCTTGGAAAAGACTCGTTAGTAAATAACTGAAACAAACACTACTTTAAATTTAAGATCCGCCTTCCATAGAGCGAAAAGAAGTTGTTTTTACCTAGCCATATCTAAGTAAATTTGATATATCGGCAGACTTCACACGGCTGTGTAAACTGAGGTTGGGCAATACCGTAAACGCAGTCGGTTACCTGCAGAAAGACACTTTACCGAGCTGCAGAGCTAAATACAAAAGGGTGTGCAATTGACATTGATAACATTTGGCTCAATAATCGCGTTGTTAGTTCGTGCTTTCTCCAGGTAAAGGAGTAAGGGCACTCACGTCTTCTCTTTCATGTCACTGTGGGCAGTCATAACTATGAATAATTAGATAATAAATCCTACCAGTCACTTAACATTCCCGTTCTGCTATATGAAGCATGCCATGAGCCGGCTCTCGCAGTCCTCGAGGGAAACGGGAATACTGTACATGATAGAATGATCAGCTGTATAACATATAAGACAACATTAAATATATATAAAGCAGTAGAGGTTGCTGGAAGCAAAGGAAGAGGAGTCGCTCTGATAGAAACATTGAATTGCAAGCCGGCAACATAAAGACAGCTGGCCAGATGCTGCACCAATTAGAGCGCTAGGGGACTAACGGAACGCAGTTGAGAGAACGCTGTAATGTGTGTAATTAGTGTAATACTAATGTGGTTTGCCCACTATATGCAACTTTAAGCGCTATTGAATCGTTTTAAAGGTATGCTTAGCTCTCTAATAGAAGTGCTCGTGGTATGAACATTCCAACATGCTCAAACTCATCCCTATTCATAACGAGTGGAGCCCGTAGCCGAAATAAACGATGAAAAATTAGACACGCAATGAGAGGGTAGCGCATTTTTCTACTGCTCTGGCGTTCGATTGTCTCAAGCAGTGAACGCCTGAATACTTACGGTCCAGATATATTTCCAACGTTGACCTTTTCACTAAGTTACTGCGCGACAGCATAGATGGTCGACAGATGAAATTGTTACTCGCACTGTGCAGGCGGAATTCAATAATTCGTTTTCCAAAAGAGAGGAAGAAACGCGGGAGCACTACCTTTGCGAGAGACGTCATGTGTTTTATAATCCCCCGAAACCGAGCTTGACTGAATTAGGTACACATCAAGCGAAGTCATTGCTATCATAAAGTTTAATACGCATGGAAGTACAATGAGCCTACCAAATGACTCAAGTACGGCCGTTTGTAGTCAAGTCCTCAACCTTTCCTTTCAATCAGTTAACAAATCAGCCATAGCTGGAGGTTAAACTCTCCATTGAAGGTCCAATAGTTTCCTAGTCCTTAAGTGGAGCTAACGCCAACGACCAGTACTATTCGGTTTAAGCTTGAGTAAATAGAGAGTTTGTGAAATTCGCTGAGAACGCTGAACTGAACGCCTTATGATGACCGTCTGCTGTCCGGTGCGGTGGACCAATCAACCTCAGGGATGTTTTATATTTAAACTGTATACATCAGCAAAAAGTACTTTTGTTAATGTTGTGGGAGTGACAGTCCTTGGCCGTATTACAATCTGTCACGGGAACTATTGGATTTTAGTCGCCTCTTACGACAGGCATGCCTTACCGCGGGTAAATTCTTGAACCCCTTACCCGCAGGGCGGTCAACAAATGAATGGACCAAATTGGTTTAAGTGCAAGTGGTTCCCGAACAGCTGCCGAGTTTTATTTCATGTCAGAAATACACTCGGAAGGGTTTACATTCCCTGCAAATCGCATCTTGTACGTTGCTCTGGACAGCACTCGAACCCATAATTTTTTATCCTACAGCTGCTAGGCTGGATTGCTCGTTTAGCTTTGATTTTATATGAAGAAAAATTATTTGAAAAATCGGAAACTTCTTTTAGTGTGTCTCATTTAAACAAATTTCAGTAATAAATTGGATTTCATTTGAGAAATCATGGCCGTATTCGTGGAGTACACCGAGCCGGTTTGGCGCGGCATGAATATGCGAGATTTGAAGGTGGACGAAGCGTACATAGTGGTAAAATCTCAATACGATGAGCCAGCCTACCTTTACAGTCGCTCCGAAGAATGCTACACAGTGAGTAATCAGAAAATATAGGATTATCCATTTTGCGGTTCCGCGTATAAAATATATTTAAAATAGTCTTTTTTTCCATGAAATGCCTTTTTCATTATGTAGTTTGAACCTTGACACCTCAGCCATAATCTGACGAAAGTTGGTTTTCAAGAGGTCAAAAGTGAAAGGTTTATCCACATAAACACGGTCTTTCGTGAAGCTCCACAGAAAAAAGTTTAACTTTGTTAAATAGCATGATCTCGGTGACCAATTGACATTGCGAGAGTTTACGCGACCGGAAAATTTCATGTGGCTCCAACTTTTAAGACAATATAGTCGTGTTAGAGATGACATATCACCTCGTTGCTGATAATACTAATTGCGGGACTCATTATTAGAGCAATAAAAACTAAAATTGTGTTATTAGGTTCATTTACCTTTCGTTCCTGGAACAAGCAACAACATTTTGTTGAGGGAAACTGGAAATACAATTCGGAGCATCGAGTTGTGATTAAATTCCTCGTAAAAAAGGAAGTGCGTCGAAAGAAATCATATCCGATGGTGAAAAAATGGGTTCGGTTGTTTCAACCAGGAAGAGAGACCTGTGAAGATGACAACCGCCCGGAGCGCTCAGCGTCGGTCCTGAATTTTGCATGAACATTTAAGCAGAAAAAATGAGTGGATGTTGATGAAACTTGGATTCGTCAGTGTGATGCTATGTCCAAACAGGACTCGATACAGTGGATTAAAAAAGGACAAAGGCCACCGAAAAAATTCAGAGAGGAAAAGTCGCCGTCGAAGATTATGGCTACCATTTTCTGGGTCCGAAGGGAACTTACAATGAACGTCCAGTATTACGCTAAGGCGCGTCAGGCAATCGTACAGAAGTGACGTGGGAAGTTAACGCGCGGAATGCTGTTTCTCCAAGACAAGCTACTGGATTTACAGAAATTGACCATCCACCCTACAGCCCGGAACAGGCTCCCAGTGAATTTCTTTGAAATTTTGTTAATCGCTTGAGATGGAGTATAACGTTCATCATAATCTGCTCTGAAAGTACGAATCGTGGCCATGTTTGAATTACCATTTTCGTTGTAGGTTGTTAAGACCAGGTCCCTCTGAGAAATTTTGAAAAACAAAGAAAAAAAATTTTAATAATGAATTAATCCCGAAGGTCCACAGAACCAAGAAGTAGGTATAGAAGAGGCCAGAGCTGAGCGCGCCGAGCGGTAAATCCGGCTGCTCGAGTATTTTAATCGTATTTTCCTCGATACCACAATCTTCAACTGGGTGACACTCTTATTTAGAACCCTCTATGGTTGGTACTACAACCAAAAATATGCCCTGTTATTTAAAAAATTTACAAATAATTAAAATTGAAGAAAAAGGGTAAATGGGAAAATGTGAAAAGTGGTACAAATCAAGACACCGTTTTGATTTTGCTTTCAGATGATTCGTTTTACAGTTATCGTGTCACTCACCAACAAAAGGGACGTGTTTCAGCAGCATTTTAAAGATCCCCCATTTAAAGAAATTTGTTTGATTTGACAGTTCAGTTTGGCTGACAAAAGTCAAATCACAGCCCTGTTCCTTTGAAACCACGAAATGGATGACCCTATATAAAAAATACAAATAATAATAACAATAAGATTTCATATTCATTTAATTCAATTTATTTTCAAACCTTTTTTATTTTGTCTTGCTATTACAGTGCCCCTACAGCTATGTGAAGCCAATGCACAATTTTATGTTCAAATTAAATGTGGCGCGTGGTTGGGAATTTAAAGTGTACGATCGAGATGCGAGTGACCATGGAATGTGAGCGAATTAATTTTGGCTTAAAAATATTAAATTAAATTTAAATATATATAATATATGTATGTATGTATGTTTACTCACTCCATTCATTAGGCTGTGTAATGATACGATCTGTAACAGTGTATGCGAATTGTATGCGCCCACAACTTTGTTGCAAGAGTTTGGAGTTTATAATTTTACGCTGAGGCAAAATGGCAGCTGTGAGCTGGTAACGGATAAAACGGGCGTGGATGTGAATTTATGTAATTAACTAATTGATTATCAATGATTTTATATTTATTTACAAACTGTTTTAATATATTTCATATTTTTTTTTATAATTTTTAGCACTCGCCTCGGTATGCCTACTAGTCACTTTGGTATTGGCCGCAATACGAATGTCCTGGTGTGCCTGGCGTTCATATAGTTTCATGTCGGAGGCCGCCGTCAATGCAACAGCAACGAACGAGACGGTCACGCCTGTGCAGCCAAGCAAACGCATGCGCAGTTTGGATGCTTTCAGAGGGTAAAATAAAATATTAAAAATTTCTGCTTTGACTTTCATTCACCTGCTCACATCTATCAATCATCTACCATTCGCAGCATGGCTATCGTTTTGATGATATTTGTAAATAGTGGCGGTGGTGGTTATTGGTGGATTGAACACGCGCCTTGGAATGGTCTGCACTTGGCCGACGTTGTCTTTCCCTCCTTCCTATGGATTATGGGTGTGTGCATACCGATTTCGGTGAAGTCACAAATGGCGCGGGGTACACCGAAAGCGCGGATATGTCGACGCATTGTATGGGTGAGTTCATACTTTTCTATAGTGATGACTTAAGTAAGGGATGTAAAAAGGTCTTATAACCAAAAATTATTGAAAAGGATGCAGTGAATCAGTGCTGCTCTTTGCATAAAGTGAACTCTAAGATCTACTTCAACGACTGCACTCGGAAGATTAATTAATGTATTGTACCAACAATTGATATTACGTTAGAAACTCTCGCCAATATCAGATTTCAATTGAATTTTCTGTATGTCTACTTTTAAAGAGGGTGGGTGGTCTAGAGTCGCAAGGTATGCCAATGGAACATATAACAGTTACATGGATGATACTAAAACTGGCTTACGTAGTGGGCGCTGCACTCCATTACCCGTGGTTGGGTCTCAGACAACCTTTCAGGCTGACGAAATGCTGCGGTGGTTGACACATTCGTGTCAATTGTGAAATGTAGGAAAGCCGTCATGAGAACACACTAGGGCAAATTCCTTTGTAGAGTCTCAAAGCTGGATAACTTGCACTTCCTTTCAAGGTTACAAGAGACTAACATATTTTAACACCATAAACACCGTAAACACATGGCTTTAGACAAAATAGGTCCTGCGCACAAACTATATTAGTAGTGCTGGATCTGTGTTGACACCGTCAACCATTTAGTATTACTATCGGACATTGAGGAATCGTCACTACCGCCGGGAATAAAAAGATGCTCCATGAAGTGTCAGAGTTGTCGACAGTCATCCGTAGGTTTTCGAATTCAGGGTGCTGCCCCTTACCGCTACCGTTTACGTTTTACATTTTGACGCTACCGCCACTATCTACTCATTTGCCGATGACTGCTCGATATTGATGTCTTGCGATGATATTACAGTCTTTGGTTGAAGGTGAACTGATATCTCTCCGTTCTTTTCCCACTACTTCACTGCCCAAAAACTAAAATTACAACCAGCGAAGTTCGCGGCAACCCCCTTCGTCTGCTGTACGAAGGAGTACCGGCTCTAACTGAATGTGAAAGTCGATGACGCCAAAAATACGCAAATAAACAAGCTTAGGTTACTAAGAGTCACATTATACACCCTGCATTCCTTCACTCCGCCTACAAGTTAAACTTATAAGGAAATTGGCCGATTGACCGGTTATTAATAACGCTGAAACTACAACCCGTCCCAAAACACCGTGATAATACACAGCGAAAAATCTATGCTACCAGTTAATGAGGAAACAGAATTATTATCTAGACACATCAGGAAGGGAGTAATCCCGTTTAGATCAACAGGTAAAAAAAACAAGGGTTCCGCAGGATGGTGCCCCCTCCCCATTACCGTCTTCCATATTTCAAAGACCCCTCCTCGACTAGAAGGGGTTTCTTTGATCTCTTATCCATTTGTTCACTGTACGACAACTGAGAATAAAACCGACCAAATCCTCTGCTACCCTTTTCACTAGCTGGACGAAGGAATAGCACATCGAACTTGATGTGAAGGTCGATGGCGTCAAAATTACGACCACAAACAACCCAAAGTTACTGGGATTAAAATTTGACAGCCTGAATTCCTTCACTCCGCATACCAAAGCAATCGCCGCAACAAACTACTCAAAGCGCTAGCCGGGAAAACCTGGAGTAAAGATAAAGAAACCTTGCTGGATATCTGCAATACTGCACTGATCACACTGGACACCGGGGACGAACGAGACGCAGTTGAAGAAGATACAGGTTTGCCAAACACCGCCCTTAGGACCGCGATAGGAAACCTTATGAAGTCGCCTGAGCATCACTTACACAATGAAGCATTTATGCTTTGCTGTGTATAAGTATCTAATAGAGGCATTACATCTCTTGCAGTGGATGGGGTTCTCAAAACCACCATCCATAGCAAATACTTGAGTTGTCTCATGCGTCCTGAGTAATACTGATACAATCAAAGTTCGGCACTGTAGCCGGCTCATCTCCCAATTATATGGGTTTGAACCCGAAATACTAGCCGTATATACCACATGTAATGAGCATCCGCCGGAACTAGCCTCACCTTTGTATGTCCTCTAAAATGAATTCAACTAACAACTATCTCCCTCCGATTCGAGCGCGTCGAAAAGCTCGTTTCCTGGGCCTCCCATTGGATGACGTCGACGAAATCGACGACATCGACTAATTTTTGTGGAAGTCCAAATTTTTCTTTGTTCTAACCAAATTAAGACGACCGCATGCTTTCTAAATCTACAGTCTGGCATTTGGCTTGAAAAACTGGAAAACTCCAAGCTCTGTTGTTTTAAAAGGTCTGAACTACTATTTTTTATTTCCAGCGCTCGTTTAAGTTATTCGCGATTGGCGTATGCCTCAATTCCATAAATGGTCCACAAATGTCCAATTTGCGAATAATGGGGGTACTACAACGTTTTGCTGTGGCTTATCTAGTGTGTGGCTTGGTACACACGCTCTTTGTACAAAGGGACTACTTGATGCCACAGGTCAGTATGTCAGCGATGGGAGTTTCAAAACTTTTAATATAATGCATATCTAAAAACATCCTACAGATCGCTTGGAAGCGTGCATTGTGCGATATAATTTTATTGAGAGCGGAGTTCCTGGTAATGCTCACACTCATCGCCATTTATTTGGCACTAATATTTGGACTACCAGTGCCCGATTGTCCAAGGTGGTTGCATGGAATTTTACTATTGATTAAAGAAAGGAATAATTTTGAATTTTACAGCGGTTACTTGGGTCCCGGCGGCAAGCATCATAATGCACAGTATCCCAATTGTACGGGAGGAGCAAACGGTTATATTGATCGTGTCATTTTAGGAAATGCACATATCTATCAACATCCAACAGCGAAATATGTATACGGTGCGCAGGCCTTCGATCCTGAAGGAGTGTTTGGTAAAGCAAGACTATTTTTAATAACATTTAAATTAATAATTTCCTCTTTTGCGTTACTTCTCCTCTCTACCAGGCTGTTTGCTGACTGTGGTGCAGGCATTTCTTGGCGTACTCGCTGGCGTTATAATACTCGTTCATACCGCTTGGATTGCGCGCATTCAACGTTGGCTCTACTGGTCTCTTGGCCTGGCCTTGCTGGGTGGTATGCTCTGCTTCTTTAGCATTGAAGACGGACCCATACCAATTAATAAAAATCTTTGGTGAGCATCGAATCTAAAAATTAGAGGTTAAGTTTTAGTGGTCAACCTTTTATTTTTCTCTGTAGGTCACTTTCTTTTGTATTGGTCACCTCCGCATTGGCCTTTTTCATGCTGACCATTCTCTATTATGTTATCGACGTACGTCGTTGGTGGGCTGGTTTTCCATTTGTGGAGTCTGGCATGAATGCCATTGTTATGTATGTCGGTCATACTGTTATGCATAAGATGCTGCCGTGGCATTGGCGCATCGGCCCGATGAATACTCATTTTATTCTTCTACTTGAATCTACATGGAATACCTTACTTTGGGTGGCGATTGCTTTGTATTTGGATTCGGTGAAATTTTATTATAGTTTATAAGAATTTAAGGAAATGAACAATTTACGAATTTATGGTATGTACGAAAAAGTTATAAAATTATATTAGCGTACAAATATATATGTTCATATGTATATTTTATAAATATGAAAATAAAATTGTCTTATTGTGGTCGCCCCTCGGTAGGGAATGTCAAGCCTTCCGAGTGTATTTCGGACATGAAGTTAAAAGGGCACACACAAAAATTCGTCGACCATTCGGAGGGGGATTAGAAAAATCTGTAAGTCACTCCATTTTTATAGAGGGGAGGAGCTCGATCGTAAATCGTTTCAGCAATTCTCGGTCTTACTATCCGCTGTGTTTAGCCAACAAACAAACAGAAAAGAATGCCGGTCAAAAAGCACAGCGAAGGTTAGACATAGTGAATCTGCAAACACACCTAAGGCAGCCGTCCGGAATTTCAAGCCCCCTACATACCACCATTACAGAAACAATTGATATTCAACAAGGTCAACAGAAGAGCTGGCATGAAGAGGATTACCATGTCCGAGTACAGAGAAAATATATTGCCTACCTCTCAACATTGCGATCGACCATCGACCATATTACGTGCCGGTGGCATAGATATGGAAAGTTGAAGGTAAAATCGGGACCCAAAAAAGAAAAGGTAAAATTACATGAGGACGAAAAGCTTTAGAAGCTAGACGTTGAGAGTAATGGAATTTCAATAAAGACAGGTGCGGGCTTATATAAGGTTTCAAGATGTTATCATACTAATTTAGGAGCCAAGTGGGTAATCTGGTGGCCAATATCCCTGAGCATACTTGGTGTATGTAGTGAGCACTTCTTCAGCTAACTAAATGGCTGTGAAAGCGCAATATCCGGCGATGCTGAATCCGAAACCCCCACTATTGATGACATTCCATTACTGGACCATGGCGGGTTCTAATGCATTGTTAAAGAATATCAAAGCGGTAGAGCTGATGACTAGCTGACTGAGGTATTCAAATACGGCGGCGTCGAACTGACTAAGTACATGCATCACCTACTTGAGGATATGGTCGGATGAAATCATGCTCAACGATTGGAAATTAAGTGTGCTCTACCCAATACATAAAAAGAGGAGCCCACAGTCTGCATAAATTCGCTTATTCGAGTAACGTACTATCGAGCATAGTGTGTGAAAGACTAAAGTCAACCGTTAACAAAACTGTTTGGACATTATCAGTGTGACTTTCTTCTTCTTCTTTATTGGCGCTGGCACCGCTTATACGATTATAGCCGAATCAATATTAGTGTGCCATTTAACTCTTCTTTTCGTTTTTTTGGCGCAAGTTGGAAATACCAAGTGAAGCCAGGTCACTCTCGACCTGATGCCTCGAACGGACTGGGAGTCTTCATTTTCCTCTGCTACCACCAGCGAGTACTGCATCGAATACGTTCAAAGCTGGAGTGTTTTCATTCACTATGTCAATATTATCAAATAGCTCGTACTATATAGCACATCGTTCCATCGTCTGCGGTATTCGCCGTTGCCAATACGCAAAGGACTATAAAACTTTACTCTTGAAGACTTTCAGGGCTGACTCATCAGATGTTGACAACGTTCACGCTTCTGCACCATATACATAGTAGGATGGGTATGATGAGATGGATTTTACGGCTGACATTATTATTGGTGTTTATATTCACCACCTCCTCGTCGATTTCAAAGCAGCTCTGACAGCAAGAAAATTTGCTGCCTCTAAACGGCAATTTGGTATCGCCACAAATCTAATACGGCTATAGAGCTTGATGTTAAGCAATACCAAAAGCTCAGTTAGGACCAATGAGGACCTCTTCGAGCCGTTTCACACCAAACATTGTACCAAACAAGGGAACTTGTTTAATTTATTGCTGGATAAAATAATACGAGCCGCAGAGCTTGATAATAGAATCCTCTCTCCACGAACAAACACCAAACTTTATAAGTCGCTCATTATTTCCGGGACGCTAAATGAAGCGGAGGCTTGCTCAGATGGAGAGTTTTGCTGTTTTCAAAGTGGCCATTGGAAGGAAGAGGGAGACCCCCATTATGAAAAATAGTGAGCTGGCCGGCTAATGCATCTTACACCTACCCGTTGGTCCTCTGTAGTGTCAGACGGAGTGTCTTCCTCCATGTGTTAGTCTGATCCAGCACCCTGCTCTTTATGGAAATTCATTAGAGATTTTTCAGCGACTTTTATATTCTGTAATAGTTCGTCAGCAAGACGAATGACACTTTTGGCAATCTCAACAGATTATCATAACGACCGTATATCTTGGAACCAAGTGTTATAGTTTCCCTGCTTCTATGGACATTTTCTGATGCAATAAGATGGGAAATTATCGCTATTATTTTCGAAGCTTAAGGACCTGGGGATAAGCTCAGCGTAATATACTCCGGTAGCCACCCAACTAACCATTTTTGATCCATTGGCGTAGATGTTACAAGTACCATAGGCGGGTCGCTGGTTTCTGCATCATACGTTCTCCTTGAACGTAGTTTGAAACCGTCATGCGGTCTATTTTGTCATCCATTCCTTTGCATATCAAGCTGTGTCTGAAGGTTCTAGCAAAGAATACACTTAAGGCCATCAACCCCTTGTAGATTTCACTGGATGTAGATTGGCGGTAGGTCAAGTAAGCATTCCAGTGTACGCTTCTCCTTAGCCTTTCTGTTATATACACTGATTTTCTACACTAATTTTTGTTGGCAGCTGTCCATTAATCCAGAGTGCAAAATTGGCTTAACTACTGCTGAGTATCACCAATGCATGAAGCCAGGCGATATGATCCATGTGGTACATGCGTAAAGGGCATTAATGACCTTTTTGACCTTTACATTTAGCTTCCAAATAACTATTCTGTTCAGAATTACGCCCAAGTAATTGGTGTGATCTTTGATTGATGTACGATGCATAGAGCCCTTCCCCGTAACAACTATAGCCTTGACGTCCACATAGGCAATTAGTTTGTGTTCTTAATCTTTGAGTTCTTCTAGACACTCACTAGCAATGGTGACAGTTCCTCTACGTGACGTGCAGGCTTGAGCAGGCTGGCTTAATTACACTCACAGATCAGCAGATTTTTCATCCACTCATCTCACAGGAGGCATTATTAAATTCCCTAGTTATGTCCAGAAAGACCCCTAAGATGCTGCAGACTTCTTTCTATTTTCGAGGTGTAGTCTCAGTAGATCCACCCTTCATATAAGCTGCGCATTGGATATGCAGACCGAATCTTTCCGAGCCTCTTTAGAAGAGACTAATTGATCTGTATTATTTCGAATAGGAAATTTGGTATGAATACGATCCTCCCCTCGAGATGAGAGCACAGAGACATAGCCTGAACCTGAAGATCACTCATATATTAGTTTTAAATATGATGGCAAAAGCTCTTTCACGATTCCCGCTGGCATTGGTATTCTTTAAGTACATCTTTGTATTCCCTCCAGCAGAACTCCTCATACACTACCTTGGCCAGGTCCCTTGTCAGGCCAAGGTGGCCATAAACCTTGCTTTGCAAGTAGCACTGTTAAATTCTTCCTTATTAGTCTCTTATGTGATTCCCAGTTCATATTCTCGAAGTTTCTGAAAGTTTCGCTTTTTGTTGAGGCTGACAATTTTATTAGACTAATCATTTATACGTAAAGGTCATTGAAGAGAATATCTACGTTAAGTGACGCTCTAAGTCCACATAATGAGCCATTAGTTCTCCTCTTAGCTGACTGCCAGACTCGGGTGAAATTAACCAATTTGTACGAGCAATAGTTGCATCCCGTTCTATTTGCTGACTAACTTTCATTCGTCATACAATAAAAAATTATGGATTTTCTCAAAGGATTTGATTTTAAGGATACAATTTTATGTGCTCAATTTCTGTGGTACATTTCTAACACTTTCTTTTAGGCTAGGTTAGATTGATGTGGCTGCCGGGCATCAGCTTACTTCAGTTACCAAACGACCCATTGTGAAATCAGTCAGAAACCTAATGGTCTCCACCCTCTTTTCAAACTGAGCAACCGAAGTATCTTTGCACCCGCTATTCCGTTCAAATCTCTGGAGATTGCCACCAGTTCAATCAAATAATACCTCAAGTGCCTTAAGGTTTTTCAATCTTCCAACTCTACGCCCAATCTCACCGAGTGCCTACCTAATTATAGGTGGAGCTGCCTTTCTTTTACACTAGCTTATTATTCTGGTCACATTGCAACCACTGATACTTTCCCATCGCAAGTTAGTATGGTTTTCTGCTGGGATTTGCTCGTCGGCTACTGGGGCTCTTCATAAAAAAAAAATAATACAAATTTAGATCGTTTATATTATTAAGAGCACAGGTTCGTTTTCGTACGGTTCGTAAAGGTAGACGAGTAGATCCTCGCAACTATCCATCCAGAGGGTGAATAGTTCGTCGCCGCACCTACGTATCTGAATTTCGAAAAGCCGGGGAGTAACACCACACCTTGACTGTCCCAGAGAAGGAGTACTACCTCACTGCCTCTAAATTTCTTCTCCTGATACCTAGAATAGAGAGTAAAGCCTCCCCTATTCGTGCGTAAAATACCTCACACTGGAGCGCTGGACTTATAACTCCGACCTTCTGAGTCTGCGGTTGGCCGTTTATATAATTAGACAGTTTTGTCCGGTGTCGCTTGTATTTCACATTATTTGTGCTTCTTATAAGTATATTTCATGTTATGGTATTTTGAGCTATTGATCTGCTGGGGCGAGCTCCAAAGCGATATAAAAATGGTTGGTTTCTATCCGAGATACCTATATTGAGATCAGTCGTGGAGTCAGTGAAGGTTAAGTAGCGGTCCGTCCTTTCTGCTGGATGAAAACCTCTTAAGATATTGGTTTATCAGTTTCCGTTTAGACAGTTCCGTTTATAGTCTTACTCTTATAGCAGATATCGCATAAGGCAACCCCATAATGTTAATGGAGAGTAGATCCAAAGATTCAAGAGAACATTCATATACTCGGTTGGTGAGGTTCGTAATACTTCAGACAGTCTTCAGAATGAGTTCTAGGTACTTTTGCAAACTCAGTAATGATCAGGTCTATTCCAGATTAAGCGAACAAGTTCCGTTTTCTGTTTTTTAATA